TAATCAACCTTAATTTGATGCAGTGTGAAAAAAAATACACAGAAATCAATTATTTTTCAAGAAATATTAAATAGATTCAACATCTTTCTTCAACAAAATTGCAGACTGCACAGATGGTACCTTCCCAAAGGAAAAAGTACTATAACTTACTAGGGTATATTAGACTTAACAGTTACTATATACAATAATGGACTTCTATACATTTTACATCAGATTAAAACTTTGGGTGTAAGATTCAGATAAATATTAAATAATTAAAAGCTAGACATTTTAAATGAGAATAAGAAAGAAAAGTATGTCTTTGTGCCCTCTTTTCCCTGTTAATGCCCTATCGGCCCCCCTGGCTAAACTTTGCTAGATCCGCCCCTGCACAGTTACCAGCGTCAGCTACGTAGAAAAAGATCCTGGAGTAGAAAGTAATAATAAATAAATTCTAACAACAGCTGATCAAGCTTAAACGTGCTGCTGTTGTTCAGCCGCTGGTTTCCTCTGTCTGGTGCAAAGTGGGCCAAAAGCAAACTAGAGACACGGACTCGCACAGAAAAGCCGATCAGCTGATCGTTAAGCAGTTTCACGATTGAAGTAGCAGCAAGAAGAGGCAGTCGCTCGTTAAGCTTAACGCAGGAATGCTTTACAAACATTCAGAGATGGACTTACACACTTGCTTTACTTCTCTCGGGGATAACTTTGTCAGAGATGAAATGCGGGTTGCTAGCGAAGCTCCACATGCTATCCAGACCACCGACAGGTCCCGCATGCCACAGCCGCTCTATCACGTGATGCATACTGCTCCGACGTGCTAATGTTCTGAGGTGAGTTACAGCGTGTTGCAAGTTTTGTGAGGTGCTTTCGTGATATTTAATGGATCGGATTACATTTTTTATTTTTCTCCGATATCCGATCCAGTAATTTAGGTCAGTATCGGACTGATACCGATACCTAATATCGGATCGGTCCATCTCTAATACGTTGTAAGTTTGAGCTACAGAAAAATTTCCCATAGCCACGTATGCTTTGCATTCTGGGATGCAGCAAGGTACTATAGAAGTGGAAAGGTATGTATAGGCTAGCAACTCGCAGTCAAATGAAAATGTAAATTCTACATGTTCTCTAATAGGAGATCAACACAGGACCCTTTCCCTGCATTTACTTTTGTTGCTCCCCTCTCCGGACACATATGGCCAATAACATTCTCATCTGGTTTGTAGTGATGCATTTTATGTCTGTGAAGGTTCTCAGTCATCCAGGTCATCTCAGGAATTCGCATGATAAGGTGGGGCCAGGTTTCACAATGAACTCACCCGAAACTCTGGCTGATTGGGACCCACACCCAGTTTCACACCTTGGCTAAGGCGATTAGAGGATCATCAGGGGGTCCTTTTGTCCCTCTGTGGGGGGTTACTCCCACTAGGTTTATATCTGGGACTCTCCACCATTTGACCTTAGAACTGAAGAAGCTTCTCGGATGAGAGGTGAAACGTCTTCAAGTAACTTAAAGAAGTCCAGACGCTTTTCTTTGCAAGCTCCTTTGACTGTGATGCATTTTAGTTCACTTGGATTCTACTCTGTGTAAAAAGAAGTCAAATTACAGGGAAAAGCTACAAGTTTACAAACTCATCAACTGATTTGAATCAGAGTAAAAGAACCATTGGATGTGAAAACTAAGGGTTATATACCAGGGACTCTCCATAGGTTGTTATAGAACTAAAGAAGCCTCTTTCTTCCAAGAGGCTTCTTTACTTTGGTATGTGAACATGAAAACATGTTCACATACCAAAAGAACTCTATTTGCCTTCTTTCCAAGTACTTGAGACATAGGCTCTAGTGGTAAATATGTTTGAATTATTCCCTACTTAGCTGTTCGCATACCACTGTATCAGGATTTTCTTGGATCAGAACCTCCAACTTCAATGTTAAAATTGTTGAATTTACAGAATTACAAGCAACATAAATCTTTCACAAAAACTGTAAGGAATATATTGTTAAAAAATAAGCCCAAGAAACTGAACTGGAGTCACTGATCACTGATACTTCTCCATCATGTCAGAAGCTCTTTTTTTAATGAATGACAAATATTTGACAAATGACATGGCTTTTTGTGTGTTACCCCTAGTTCATGAAGTCTGCGCATCAGTGTTGGTTAGAGCTGATGCTTAACAGATATTGTGTCTGTATGACATGCCCTTAAACTCTACAGATGCATCTTGATAACAGAGCTATTTAGAGCTAGCTGTTAATTCAGTTCCAAAAAAAGCTCCAAATAACTAGCACTGGGAACATTTTTAAGGCTTAAAAAACAGTGGCTGATGTTATGTTGCTATGTCCATCTTTTGGTGACTACACATGCACGCAACTATCAGTCAGTAGGTCAGTCGGAAGGTGCATACTGAGCATTGTTTTGTGCAGAAAAAAAAAATCCCTGTGTGTTCTGGTGAGGGCATCCTGAGTAGCGACATATGGTGGGAAGGTGTGGAAACAGCTAAGCAAGTGGATCTTGCTTCCAGATTATGTCCCATATATTTACACCCACCCCTAACCCCACCCCCGAAACTCACACAATAAAACTAATACATGCACTAAGCCAATGAACACTAAAGGGGATCCATTACCTGACAGTGTTGTTTGTTGTGTACATTTTCACTCTGTGTATTCTACATGAGTCGAGTGAAAAATGACACCCAAGCCGACAAGCATTGGCGAGGGTGAGATCAAGGCTATGACACAGCGAGCCCGCTACACCTGCGCTCCTTGACAGATCAGTGGCTGGGCTTGACTCCACCAAGGTGACACCATCCACCTGCTGAGCCATTAAGCTGCTCTACTGCCCTCAGGAGAGATTGTATTGTGTGTGTATGTGTGGGCAAGAAATGGAGTGCAACATCAACACCACGTGGCAATCAATACCATGTCATACTGATTGCAAAACCAAACAGGCAGCATTTCCACCTGAGCACCCAACCATTGTTGATCATGGATGCTGACCCTGTGACCTCATGCTGAAAGATGGAGGGGGTCCAAGAAGAGTATGTGTCTCTCAGAAATCAATAAAGGGAGGGGATTTGTTTACCAGCTGATTGTGACACCTAAAAGGTGCACACTGTGAAAGGGGGATTGTCTCTGAGAACACCAAAGATCAACTAGCAGCTTTGTTAGGTGCACGCGCACGCACGCGCACGCACACTTCGACGAGCCACATTTAGAGACGTACTCATACAGTACAGAGTACAGTTGGCAGAGAGAACCCTACAATGTGGGTTAGCAGAGTAATCCTTTAGCCCAGGGCAAAGATGTCAGTAGGCCAAGGCAACCTGCTCACAGTCCAGGGACTGAGCTGGTGTGTGCATGTGTGTGTGGCATTATTAATACAAAATACTGGAATTACTAATAAAGTGGAAAATATTCAAGATTAAAGTGTTAAAACTATAATAATCTTGAAGTTTTATGTAGCAGTAATCGGAGGAGCATATCCTCGTCTATCTTTAAGCTTACAGTAACAGAAGCTCTGCTGGACCTCCTAAAGCTCAGCCGATTAGGAAAACGAACAGACTGGTGGCTGCAATCGAAGCGAGCTTAGACTTAAGATATCGGACTCATCGCGCTTAACCCACTGTTGCATTTTAAAAAAGCAACGACTCCTATTCCTAGAAACTGGTCTACATAATGCAGTAAAGGTGTCTGAATCTGCACCTACTGTGCGAGGAATACCAGAAACACTGCGTTTAAGCTCGCTTCACAATCCGGATGGCACGGTTTCCTTACCCCCCCTCTTCCTCCAGGATCCACTGAATGTGCGTCCGTGAGAGCTTTTTATGTCCACCGCAGATGGTAAAATCCACGTTGTAAGTTTTGAACGCGGTGCTCCTCTTGCTTGCAGCTGAACCGCTCCCTCTCAGGTGGGACGTGGTTTGTCCGCGGCAGCCATTCAGACAAATGTGGGAAGCCGCGCACTGAGCTTTCTACTGGAACAATAAAGAGCAACACACACCGCCTCCAGCGCTCCGTGCGCCCCGGCACTGGTGGTGGTGGTGTCAGGGAGAGAAAATGCAACTTGGGCGGCTCAGCAGCGCCATCGCACGGCCTGAGTAAGGTGTTGGCCATTGGTTTGTTTCTCACAATGAGCACTTTACAGCCTATTTAACTTAATAGAGATTCAAATTATTCAGGCCCCAGAAAACAGACTATATCAGAATATAATAGGAGTAAAGTAAACATTGCTTAGATTAAAACATTTGAATTTTATATCAATATTGAAGATAATCCAAAATTACACAATGGGTAATGGGAAATTACAGAATTACACAACTACTAGTAAGGACTACAACACAATGGAGACTTCATACAAATTTTTCACTTTAATTTGACAATTTTTACAATTTAATATCGAATTTTTTGAGTTTTTTCTATCATTTCACCTAACAGCGATGGTTTACATTCTTTTTTTTATTAGGTTGAAAAAATGATTTGTTATAATTAAAATCAAAGGGGGTTTTTTGGGGGAAAAAAAAAAAAAACAAAAGCTGGAAATGGCCCGTACGGGGATCGAACCCGCGACCTTGGCGTTATTAGCACCACGCTCTAACCAACTGAGCTAACCGGCCACGAGGCTTTCCGGCAGAACAACTGTTTTTATATGTGTACCATATGTACTGCTCACGAAAGCGGTATAAATTGGTTGAACAAGCTCATATTCTTGTGGTTGGTTCTCTCTTTCACTTTTTCATTGCACTTGTCGCATTCCACGACAACCAATAAAAGCAAATACTAATTCTACGAGGCGAAAAGAAAACCTCAGCCCCACATCGACGACGTCTTTCTTTGCCACGAAGCAGCATCAGCCAGGTCTGTTGCCATAGTTACGAGAGAGCGCGAGAGCGACAGAGAGAGAGAAAGCGAGAGGGAGAGAGGGTGAGACTGATCACGTGACCCAGCAAGATGGCGACTATAATGTAGAATGGGGATGTGAGTACCACGTCTTATTGGCTAACCTTTGGGCTACTAAAACCAGCGTGTGTTCTCACATTGTTGGGAGCCGTGTTTGTTGCACTTTTATTTTGCTACGAAGCAAATGCTTTGTCTTCACAGTGTAACTTTAAAAGAAAAGGGTCCACCAGCGCCGCCTTATCCTCCAGGACAGCCTACCAACTAAAGTGAATCCGCTAACGTTAGCTTTCTTATATACCGTGGTTATCTGTTATTGTGGCTGATTACTCAGCTGGTTTTACTCTGACCCGGGTAGCTCACCTCCAGCTGCGGCTGCACTCTCACCTTGTTCCGCTTGTGTCCTCTTCTCTTTCAGGATTTAAACTGAGAGGGTGGAAATTTGGATCTGTTGCCTAATTGTTCATCATCATCATCATTATTATCTTAGAATCAAGATGGCCCTAAATGTCTTTGGTAAGCAGCATCTCACAGTACACGATTGTCCCTGGAATGTCTTATGGATTTAAGAATGGTGTGTTAATTTGTTTATGATTAACTTCCAATCTGTTGTTTAAACATGTTGTTTAAAAATGAAAAGTGGTCAGTGGTCGTATTCACAGAAGTTTCAAATAGTAGACTTGATTTAATGAAGAAAAATCCAGATCCTTTAAATAAGGAAAACTAGTATTGCATTATAGCCATAAGTGGTTCAGTTTGCAGTTATAATTATTATTATTATCATTATTATTATTATTAATTCTTTATAGCATTTCTTATGGACTCCAGGACACTTTGTTTTTAATTATGGTTTGGTTTTTGTGTTGTTGTTTTTTTAACAAGATGTACTGTCTACCATCTTTTGCAATCAAAAGTATGATCTGAATGCACTGTTGTGCCAAATATATTTTGCTTTTCCAAGACAAGCTCTGTAAATTCTCTACAGGCTCCTCATGTTCGTCTTTCTCATCTTCTTTTTTTCTTTTTCTTTATTCATTTTTATTATGACTCACATAATATGTGCAATATAAATATGTCAAATCTGAGGCGACTGTTGTTGTGATTTGGCGCTATATAAATAAAATTGAATTGAATCGGTGTAGATAAGTATTCCCATTATAAGTAAAATTTCCTTCAAAAGTAAAAGTCATCGTTCAGTGGTTTTTATATACATATATATTATATTATCCATCCATCCATCCATCCATCCATCGTCATCCGCTTTGTCCGGGGTCGGGTCGCGGGGGCAGCAGCCTAAGCAAAGAGGCCCAGACCTCCCTCTCCCCAGCCACCTTGTCCGGGGGAATACCAAGGCGTTCCCAGGCCAGCCGAGAGATATAATCTCTCCAGCGTGTCCTGGGTCCGCCCCGGGGCCTCCTCCCGGTGGGACATGCCTGGAACACCTCACCCAGGAGGCGCCCAGGGGGCATCCTTGTCAGATGCCCGAACCACCTCAGCTGGCTCCTTTCGATGTGGAGCAGCAGCTGCTCTACTCTGAGCCCCTCCCGGATGGCCGAACTTCTCACCCTATCTCTAAGGGAGAGGCCAGCCACCCTTCGGAGGAAGCTCATTTCTGCCGCTTGTATCCGCGATCTCGTTCTTTCGGTCACTACCCACAGCTCGTGGCCATAGGTGAGGGTAGGGACGTAGATCGACCGGTAAATTGAGAGCTTCGCTTTTACACTCAGCTCCCTCTTCACCACGACGGACCGGTGCAACGTCCGCATTACTGCAGCCGCAGCCCCAATCAGTCTGTCGATCTCCGGCTCCCTTCTCCCATCACTCGCGAACAAGACCCCGAGATACTTGAACTCCTCCACTTGGGGCAGGAACTCATCCCCGACCCGGAGTGGGCACTCCACCCTTTTCCGGCTGAGAACCATGGCCTCGGATTTGGAGGTGCTGATCCTCATTCCCGCTGCTTCACACTCGGCTGCGAACCGTTCCAGTGTGAGCTGGTTATATTATATTATATTATATTATATTATATTGCTGATGTGCCCCTGGTAGCTGTAATAAACAGCCAAGCTCTCAGTGTTGCAACTAGCTCTACATATTGATAGTATTTTAATGATATGATATATAATATCATAGCCATCAGTGGTTTCACTTTATTTTATTTTATTTTTCATTCCTTTCAGGACATCAGACAATCCGCTAACAGCTCGTATTTGAAATGTGACTTTGTTAAGAGGTCATAAGCGTTTAATCTTTAGCAACCCGTTGTATTTTAAAGTTTGCTTTTTTAATGTAAATATACGAGGCAATTTACTGTAACCCTTATTTTCTGAATGTAGCAAAGGGCCAAGTGTTTCTTACATGTGTTATGAAGGAGGAAAAGTGCCCATTTGTTGTTGCAGATGCCGGGAGTGTGAACAGTCCGTGTGTTTTGTCTGGGTTCTTGTTAGTTTGTGTATCTTTGAGCCTGTGTTACCTCAAGAAAAGGAGGGTGAGACGATTGCCCGGGGAGGATTTGGAGTTATTTTGAAGACAGGATACCGAGACGACAAGTGTTGAATAGATAAGGCTTGTAGAGTGGCCTCTGTACACAAGGACAGGAAGCGGACTGTTAGTTTTACCCATGCAAAGAAGATGGAAGACGGAATACATTTCTGAATTGGCCAGATGCTGACAAAAATATATTTTCGAGGCCTGGGTTAAAGAGGACCTTTTGTACTGATTTCCAGTTTCAAATTTTTGGTCTTGGATTCTGCTAAAGTAGCTTTGCATGGCCTAATGTTTAAAATAAGCTTAATTCATCTTATGATTTGCCTTCACACAGGACCTGAACAGCTATCTAAAACTCTCCACTTTAAGCTAACTTTCTGCTATTGGCTGTTGTTCAAAAACAGCAGGTATCTCCTCTCACTGACATCACACATCAGCCGAAAAGCTCAAACACTGTGTTCAGAGCAGTCCAAACCCTGAGCCTTTGGCTCACAGGGATTACTGTACACATACTGACCTCATAATTTGAAACTCTGTAGAAGCTGTAACCCTATATATGTGACACAAAATAGGGGTCCACTTTAAGTATTTTAATTTAGTTTTTGTTAGATGTTCAGTGTAGGATTTCTTAATTATTTTCACAAACGATATTTTTGATATGTTTATTTCCACTCTTTTTGTACATACAATCTAATTGACTGTTCAAAGCAATATGTGAAATATTACCTGCTATACTGCAGAAGTTATGTGATATAAGACAGTTTTGCTGAGCAAACGAGAAAACTACTTTTCTCAGAGTGCTTTGAAACAAAGCTAGCTAATTTAAGCATTACTAACTATGGAATCATCAAAAACAAGCTTTACATAGCACTGTGAACATGACACTTTATAAATCACATCTCACTTTTCACAGCATGAGTCAGATAAGCTATATCTTTAATGGTTTGTATACAATGGCCAGTAACTCAGTTCAAAATTGCTATGCTTATTTTTTTTTGTTTTGCTTTGGAGTTGTCTGTTTTTGTGGTTATGTGTAAATGTATAGGTACATTTACATGTATGCATATAGGCATTCTGCTACTGTAAATAACCTTATAAAATATTTATTTGTAGAAAGTGTAGGTTCGTAAGATTTTCTTCTTCCTGCATCTTTTCGCCTTGGTTTATGCGAGGATGTTTTTATATGCTAACTCAAGTGAGACACAAGGACAGGACTAAAAAAGAGTGAAGAAGCAGCCAGTGTCCAAAGGAAAACTTTGAAAAAGCTTCAGAAATCCTGGACACCAGATGAAAAGATGAGGAGTAACTCAAAACCTTTGCTCAGTGCTGTGAATATACACAAAATGCCAAACTCAGAGCAGAATAAGATATAAACAAAGCGAATAGAAACTGCAGTATAATGAAGTACAAAGAAGCAAGACATCATTCATTGCAACTACGTGACTGATTCCTCTTTAACAACCTGTTTTATGCTTTACGGCACATAAAGGATAAAGTAAACAGCATGTCGTAGTGACCGATGATGCCTTTGTCATGCTTATGTAACAAGACTCACTTTGTCCCAGTACAAGTGGAAGTGTTAAATCTCATTTCTGTTGGGAATTGAGGTCATTGCAGTAACAACACATGCAATAGATGTAAAGTGCATAATTTAAATGTGTACCTTGGGATTTTACAGGCGCCACAATGGGTGTCTTTGAGTAGAAGTGCTCAGCAGCTCCGCAAGAGTTCACCCAGACTCCACGCCAGCGCCTGGGGCCAAAAGTGTTTCGGTTTTAATTAGAGATGGCACGATACCACTTTTTTATGTCCGATACCGATATCATAAATTTGGATATCGGCCGATACCGATATGAATCCGATATAGTGTGTTTTTTTAATCAATAAAACTGTTTTTTTTTCATATCTTGCTTTTTGTATAAGTTCATACTCAAGTTAAAAACAAAACAAAACACTAAAGCTATTCTGTTATACCTGTATGCAAAAAATGCACTGCACCCAAAATATTTCATAGTTCAGCAAAACTGATCAATCTAATAAACTTAAACCTGCTCCATCCTCCCTATTCTGGTATTTTAAAGAGTAAGCAACCTAACTAATAGGATTCTAAAACTCCCAGCAAAAAAAAAAAAAAATAGGGAACCACCCACCCTCCACCTCATGATGCTTAATTGACGTAATCAACTATAATTTGATGCAGTGTGAAAAAAAATGCACAGAAATCAGTTATTTTTCAAGAATAATTAAATAGATTCAACATCTTTCTTCAACAAAATTGCAGACTGCACAGATGATGAAGTACTATAGCTTACTAGGGTATATTAGACTTAATAGTTACTATATACAGTAATGGACTTCTATACATTTTACATCAGATTAAAACTTTGGATGTAAGATTCAGATAATTATTTATTAAAAGCCAGACATTTTAAATGAGAATAAGAAAGAAAAGTATGTCTTTGTGCCCCTTTTCCCTGTTCATGCCCTATCGGCCCCCCTGGCTAAACTTTGCTAGATCCGCCCCTGCACAGTTACCAGCCGTCAGCTACGTAGAAAAAGATCCTGGTGTAGAAAGTAATATTAAATAAATTCTAACAACAGCTTATCAAGCTTAAACGTGCTGCTGTTGTTCAGCCGCTGGTTTCCTCTTTCTGGCGCGAAGTGAGCAATAAACAAACAAGAGAGATGGACTCGCGACAGAAAAGCCGATCAGCTGATCATTGATCAGTTTCATGATTGAAGTAGCAGCAGCAGAGGGAGAGATAGAGAAGCAGTCGCTCCATATATCGGTTGTTAAGCTTAACTCTGGAATGCTTTACAAACATTCAGAGATGAACTTACACACTTGCTTTACTTCTTTCTGGGATAACTTCCTCGGAGATGAAATGCTGGTTTGGTAGCGAGGCTACAAATACACACAGCCGCTCTATCACGTGACCCGTACTGCTGCTACGTGCTACGGTTATGAGCCGAGTTACGCCATGTCGCAAGTTTTGTGAGGTGCTTTTTTGATATTTAATGGATCAGATTACATTTTATATTTCCCTCCGATATCCGATCCAGTAATTTACGTCAGTATCGGACCGATACGTAATATCGGATCGGTCCATCTCTAGTTTTAATCACATTCGCTAATACTACTGTCAGTGTTGTTTATGGTGTGTTACAACCGAATAAAACTACAGGGGAACACTGCCATGATGTTGATATCCATCTACAATTAATTTCACACGGCCTGAGGAAGGGAGGGGAGCTGACAGTAAAAGCTAGTGTGAGGGTAACAAAGATAAACACTGCACAGCTCATTTAAAAGCAACCACGGTATAAATGAATCTTTCACAGCATTTTATGCTTCACGGAGTAGATTTATTCATTAAGCCACTTAGTCGCCAATTATGCTCTGTGTGGTTTCTGCTGTGGAAAAAACTTAATCCATCACTCTGATGTCCCAAGGTAATTGCATACAGACTAGAAAATAAAGCAGTCATGCTGTCAGTGTTGGAGCGTAGATTTCTGTGTTTGTTTGGCTTGTTTGCTTCAGCAATTTCAAGGCTTAGCTGTGTGAGTGCCCTAAAATCGTAATGCTCTTCCCTGATGTGATTGTAAAACATTTGATTTTTGTCTGTACATTAAGCTTCCCCTTTCTTTACGCTGGTCTAATGTCAAAGAGATAATGACTTGATCAATACATCCGCATTCTGATGCAGTTATATGTTTAATGAATTAAAATTAAAATTTAGACACAGAGCTGTTGCGTCACTGTCATGTTTTCTCCACATGGGGGTGCTGCATTAAAGGAATTAAATGAGAGCTTTCTGTGTCCTCAGATCATGATGAATACAGGCCACCAGTGTGGAAATCCTACTGTAAGTATCAATATACCTTTTGTTTGTTTGTTTTTTTCAAACATACCTAAATATTTTGTCTTCTTTGTTTTCAATGATTGTTTGATGATTTTATAACATGGCCTCTTTCCCGTCACAGTGTATCAGCTCCAGCAGGAGGCACCTCACCCACGCAGAGTCACCTGCACCTCTGAGGTGAGAGCACATGTCCTTATTATCAACCAGCACATTCTAGCACGTCTCATATTTTGAAATCCGCTTTTTATCTGTGTGATGTTGCAGTGAAAAAACATCAATAGATCTGCTAGATACACACGAGGCTTTGCTCAAATTCTTATCCTCATTGAACTCGTCTTCAAATGCAAAAGTAGTTTTTCTTCTCTAACATGTTTTCTACGGTCAGCTCAACAAGACAGTCACACTTGGACCATAGTTGTCAATTTTATTGCATTTTTCACTTGCAGTATTTTGTGGTGATGTTTCTCAATCCCTTTATCTGGATAAACCTTTGCTTCTTTAAAAGTTAAGGTTTCTGCAAGTGAGATTTTGAATGTTAGCAGCAGAAAACTATTTGATAACTATTTAAATCCATTCCCTATGCTTGTTTTGGTAAGTGGTCCAGCATTGTGTCCATGTTAGCATGTTGGTCGCCCCCAAAGTTTATAAAGAACACAAAAGTGAGTCAGGTAGGAGCACTAACTAAATTCTAAACTAAACGTTCAGCCAGTTCACCAAAAGAAAAAAAAAAAACTTTATTCTTTTCTGCGTTTGTGTGTCTGTTTCTGCATATCTGTGCATATTCTAAGTGCCACAGAGTAGATACTAGAGATGGACCAATCTGATATTACGTATCGGTATCGGTCCGATACTGACGTAAATTACTGGATCGGATATCGGAGAGAAATGAAAAAAAAAAATGTAATCTGATCCATTAAATATCAAAAAAGCACCTCACAAAACTTGCGACATGGCGTAACTCGGCTCATAACCGTAGCACGTAGCAGCAGTACGGTTCACGTGATAGAGCGGCTGTGTGTATTTCTAGCCTCACTAGCAATCCGGCATTTCATCTCCGAGGAAGTTATCCCAGAGAGAAGTAAAGCAAGTGTGTAAGTTCATCTCTGAATGTTTGTAAAGCATTCCTGCGTTAAGCTTAACAACCGATATATGGAGCGACTGCTTCTCTATCTCTCCCTCTGCTGCTTCTACTTCAATCATGAAACTGATCAATGATCAGCTGATCGGCTTTTCTGTTACAAGTCCGTCTCTCTTGTTTGTTTATTGCTCACTTCGCGCCAGAAAGAGGAAACCAGCGGCTGAACAACAGCAGCACGTTTAAGCTTGATAAGCTGTTGTTAGTTAGGTTGCTTAATATTTCTGCTAAGTACTCTTTAAAATACCAGAATAGGGAGGATGGAGTAGGTTTAAGTTTATTAGATTGATCAGTATTGCTGAACTATGAAATATTTTTGGTGCAGTGTATTTTTTGCATACAGGTATAACAGAATAGCTTTAGTGTTTTTTTTTTGTTTGTTTTTTTTTTAACTTGAGTATGAACTTATACAAAAAGCAGCAAGATATTAAAAAAAACTGTTTTATTGATTAAAAAACACTATATCGGATTCATATCGGTATCGGCAGATATCCAAATTTATGATATCGGTATCGGTATTGGACATAAAAAAGTGGTATCGTGCCATCTCTAGTAGATACACAAACATGGTGAAACAGAGCGCGGACAGACCCATATCGTGATGTTGGGACAGTGTTTCCTACACATAGACTTTACTTGGGCAGGCCATCCATGTATATTAAAGCCCAGTACTTTGTGCTATCCATATCCCTTCCTGTCTTGTATTTTTCTGCTAGCGCTTTGACCGATTCGCTTTTGTGGAGCTCCTTGATGATTGTTTATCTGCGCCTCCTGAGTCTTTTGTCACATAGTCGTACTGTCTCAGACCCCAATATGCTGGTCTGCAGCTGGTTGCTGTAATCATTGTTTTGCAATAGTGACCTGCTGCAAGCTGAACAGTGCCACGACAGTAGACAGGTAAAGTTACAGTCCATGCCTCATACTTCATTTCATGCTTGCCCTCTGACCTGCTATCACAACAAATCTAGTCAAGTTCAGTGTATGCTACAGTGTGAGTGTTGGATATAGCTTGCTCTAGTTGTATTGGTGTTCTTCGTGCAGCTGATGCGATAGCACTTAACTGAAACAGGCTTCCGATAAATGACATACTACATGGGCTTAATTATGGGGCCAGGCTTTGGCTCTTAGGACACCTGGGGGGAATTTAGCAATGAGCTGGGCTGCAGTCCACTGGAAGCAGCTGAGCTCCAGCGTGACATCTTGTGGTTCTGCATGTATATAGCATGTGAAGCAGGTGATGAAGTCTACATGTGTACTTGTTGTACTTGCTCTTACTTCAGAAAACTGCTTCTTTCCATGCTTTGGTAAGAACCCGCTGTTCTGTTAAAAGTTTTAGAGCGTATGGGCATGTGTCATCATGGATTTTTCAAGTGAAATCTACTGAAATCGTGCAAAGGACTTCAGCTGTAAGTTTGAGACCCCTTTACCCTGAATCTCTAGCATCAGCATAGTTTCTGTTCTTGGTTTTAATGACAGTTGAGTGTGATAATGTTAGGGAAAATGTTCTAAAACACTTCTTCAGTAAAGACTCAGAGAAGAGAAACACACAGAAGTTCTTGCTAGCAAGGGCAGTCTCCACACTAAGAGACTCCAGTGAGAGAACTGCCCTGGTCTTTATTTATACTCTTGAGCGTATGTGTGTGTGTATGGTGTGTGTGTGTGTGTGTGTGTGTGTCACTGCTGATCAAAAGGGTCATATAACATACAAACACAAAAGGTACATCCTTGGTCATAAAGAGGGTAGTCTCCCCCACCCTAGATGGCACGGTGAGGAAGTCCAGCAGTTAAAGCACTTAGACTGAAACAGACATAGCTACGTTAAAACAATAAAACAAGGTGCGACCTCTCCCACGCTCCCAGGCGTGGGGGTGCATTCCTGGGATGCACCCCAAGCCTGCAGCCTGTTAGAGATCACACACAATTAATTATATGCCTCTAAGTATACATGGTTGAATATTTTCTAATACAAATAACTACATGCAGTATTCTACCATATGCAAACTTATATCACTAAAAGATTATACTGACTACTAAATACAATTTTCCATTGACATTCCCTCCTGTTGTCAGAAAAACTTTAAGTGAGATACCAGTTTGTCATTAATCACACAAAGTCTTCATGTTCCAACAGGTCGGGGTCATTATCATCATCATCACTTGTCATGGCTATTTATGCAGCAACAGTAGAAAATATTATGCGGTTAATCATAAGTTTTAGGCATGGCAATATACACGTTACAAAGACACAAAATAAAAGTAAAAATATCCCAACTCCGATGAGTAGTCTTTTTAGCACCTGTAACCAGGAGCCAGTGTAAAGCCAAGAAAACCAGTCACTTGTATCACTTACATAGTCCTGATTTTTGGGCCTGCTGGATCTGTCTCACAGCATTCAGGGCGTCAGTCATGTTTGATGAATGTACATCGTCTGGTATGTAAGTGCAGCATGTGTTGTTGAAGAGGACACAAAGTCCCCTTTCTCTGCTAGTATCATAGAGTAGTTCTTCCCTGAGAGTTAGTCCAGGAACATATATAGTGTGGGGTATGTTGCCGTGCTGGGTAGATGGGAACAGACATAATAGTCTGTATTTGCCGATTCTGCTTTTGTTCTGTCGTGGATATAACGGTACCAGGCATTATTCATCCACGGAGGGATGTGGTCTTGCGTCATATCCCTTAGGTGAGAGTTGTCGTGTGTCCATCTTCTCTGCCTTCCTCCTGGTTCAGCTGTTTCCGGCACCAGCTGGGGTCCTGTAAAAGTGAGCGTCGTAGTCAAGGTAACCAAGAGGGTCCACCTTCCCATGGTTGCACACAGGTCCGTCACGCCTCGCACTTGGTTGCCCTAGAGTTGATCAGAGGCTGGAGGTTGAAGTGCGAGCTTACCCTACGGGGGCTCAATCAGCACTCCCCCCTCACCACTGAAACAACCAAGTGTGAGATTTCTCTATTGTGCTGTCTTGAGGGTGCCGGGGTTTCCTGGGACCTCGACCTCTTGCAGTGGCTCTGATAAATCCAGGAGGGTCTCTCCGCTATTTTGCAGGCAGTTGAAATGGTCAGAAACACTTGAATTGGCCTCTATCAACCCCCATCACCTCACTTCAGGCCTTCATCCTGCGGTAGGAATACTTATGACTCTTCTACTGTCCATCCTCTGCAGAAAAACCTCTTTGTAGAAAGGGTGCTGGGTCCAGTTATCTTACTGGCGTTATGATCCCAGCAGTCTTCAATGTGCCAGCGTATGCACAGTATAGTGACACAGCATTAGGTGATGTTCATAGGAAACTGCTGTCATCACCACCATGGCTTCTGGTTCCTGTGCTTTCACAGAATCATGATATCATCCTTAGATTCCTTCTGCGCTGTCGATGGAGCTTGGCACGCTCCCCTCATCCTTCAGGTGCCCATCTGTTGTCCACAATCTCCTCTGTTGGCCTCTGGAAAGCCCTTTTGGCACAGCTCTCATTCCAACGCAGTTTCATGGTCCTTGCTGTGGCTCCAAAATCTGATCTCATGATGGGCCCCAACCAGCTTGACCTTTGACCTCAACCACTGCCTGGGCTGTCAGTTATGCCTGGAATGGTTCTCGCTTCTCACTGGGCCTCTGAAGATTTCTCAGGAGATTACTGCTGCACCTGTATTTCATTGCTAGGAGGAAAAACTTCTATTTGGAGAGCATGTCAACAATCATCAAACCACATTCTTTAGTTCAGTGAACTTCACTTATAGGCCATCAAAGCCTCATCTGAACATGGATGCACCACTTGCATAGGTTTAATACCTGTAAATAAACGGTTAATCACACAAATCGCTGCAAAAATTATATAAAACAAAATTTAATGTTAATTCCAAAATTTAATGTTAATTCATTGTTTCATATTAATCCTGGATCCCCCATCTTGACACATGGACACTCCCATGAGTCAACTCATCAAAATCAGATTCCTGTCTCAAAGAAAAAGATTAGCTAGATCATATCCCAGGTAACATCAGGGCATCTCCTCCTCTGGAGCAGCACCACCCTGGACCTATAATCCTGCAATAA